TCCACTTCAACAATAATGAGGACAGCTATATTTGGAAACCTAACCTGAATGGCCAATTCAGTTTATCTAGTGCCTATGATGTTATTAGAACTAAAATGAATATTAATTCTTCCTACAAGTTCATTTGGAACAAGAGGACGCCGAAAAAAATATCATTTTTTCTTAGGAAAATGAAAAATAAGTTACTGCCATTTGGTGACAAGCTCAATGATTTTGGGACTTTTGGTCCCTTTAAATATCCTATGTGCAATGCCTCTGACACTATTGATCATTTTTTTATTGAATGTCCTTTTAGTAAAATGGTGTGGACTCATTTTGAAAACCTGTTCACTTTCAAACCGAATTCCACAAATACTTTTTAAACCTATCTTTTAGGGTGGTACAATGACCTCAAAAGGGGTATTTCAGATATCAATTATGTTCTTCCTAATGTTATTACTTGGAACTTGTGGAAGATTAGAAATAAGCTTATCCATGATGATACTAAGGCTTTCTTACCTGAGGCGATCCAAGCTGTAAAAACTGATATATTGGCCATATCTGGGGCGAACCCTTTTTGAACTCTCAACCCTCAAACCCCCTTTAACATACACACTATCCTTCCTAACAAGACTAGTCCTGGCCCTTTGCTTAATACCTGGAATAAGCTGATTCATAACTACCACAAAATTAATCTTGCAACTAGGCTTATTACCCCTAATGTTGTTAGATTGGCTGCCCTTATTCGTGATGATAATGGTAACTACACTAGTCACATAACTTCCATAGCCGCAACCCTTGACATCACTGTGGCAACTTATGATGCCATCATTGATACTCTTCAGGCCATTTCTAAAATCAATTTGACTAATTTTGTGCATGAGGTTGATAACAGTGAAGTGTATGAAGGAATCATGGGAATGAGGAAACAACACTGGAGGACTTGGTCTCGGATCCAGACCATTAAACGCAAGCTAAAGGCATGCAACTGGAGTCTTACTCACATTCACCCGGCAATCAACAAGGCTGCTGATTATTTGGCTTATAGGAGCACTTCCATTAAAACCAAGAAATCATTTTAATCATTTTGTTGGTATTTTAAAGTTTGATGCAGTTAGCTATCCCTATGTAATTTAAGTTTGAGTAGGATTCTGTTTGGTCCCCCTACTCTTTGTACTCTTCTTTCTAATAAACTGGTACCGTGTTTCCTGGCCCTTACCCCAAAAAACCGTTTTCAGTAAACGATTTTTTCGTTTGAATATCGTGTTCAAAAAATATGGGAGAATGAAAATCGAGAAGTACATGGAGATGGAAATGACTTCAGACAAGTGGTATCAAGATCAATGTAGATGGTTCACCAGACCCAAATAGCTCTAAGTCCTCTAACAATGGGCTTGGCATGGTCGATCGGGATGAGTTCACAACTTTTGTGGTGGGGATGAGATGACATTGTAGGGACAACTTTACAGCAAGCTCTACCGAATTGATAGTCGTAAGGGAAGCATCACAATGAGTTAAGGAAAATGATTGACAAAAAGTCATCATTGAATTAAGTGCTTAACAAGCTCTGCAGCACACTGCGTGGTATAAATTACCCACGTGGATGCTCCTATGATACAACTTTGTCACGTAATACTAGACATATAATGATGGTTATCGCTAATATTTCTATTTAATATGTGCGTTGATCCGTGAATAAGATCTCTCATATGTTAGCTAGACGGGTTATTTCTAAATCTGATTTTTTTTTGTTTTACTATTCTATAAATTGCCTACGTGGATGCTCCTATGATACAACTTTGTCAGGTAATACTAGACACATGATGATGTTTATCGCTAATATTTATGTCTAATATGTGTGTTGACCAGTGAATAAGATCTCTCATATGTTAGCTAGACAAGCTATTTCTAAATCCGATTGTTTTTTGTTTTACTATTATATATTCGTGATATCACGTTGAGGGATAAGTATTGTTGAAAGTTTACTAGATTCTCACACGTGCGATGCACTGAACATAGATTAAGTAGTAGCTATATCATATTATTTGTTAACATTATGAGTTAATATGTAAATGAATGTAAAGAGTTACACACACGAAATTATAATTAAGGAAAACACAGTTGCGACTTATAATTAATCAGTACAAAGTATGCTTTGGAATAAAAAAATATAAATAGATATTGCAATAAGGTTTTCACAACCTACACTTTTAGAAACGCTTCCTTGTAAACAAAAATGATAGTATAGTTGATTTGTTTGTCATCTTGATCGCAAACCAATATTTTTAAACTATTATGATTTGTTACTTTCTATACTGCAACATTAAAACATGTATAAAAGTATGAAAGTAAGAAGTACCATTTGTATAAGTCGTTGAAAATGTTATATGATCGGTTTTGATGAGACCACTGATTTTTTCAACATTTTAATCAACATTTTATGTCCAAAAGTGTAATTATTAATAAATAGGTTTTAATGACATTATTCAAATATAATATACATAAAGTACATAATTTATTACTACGTATTATAAATGCAAATCAGTGTGAAATCAATGTGAATCAATTTAAAAATTTGTTTAGTTTTAGTGCTATGCTTTTAAAACTCTGTATTGAACAACATACGAAATGATGCAATAATTTTTTAATTGGCTGAAGTTGTGTTCAAAAATAAACTCTTGATTTATTGTGAAATGATAATCAATGGCAAGAGATCAGTAATTGCACTTTAGGGGGTGTTTGAATTTGATTCTTAAAACTGCTTCTGCTCCTTCAGGGAGCAGAAGCAGAAGTTGGAGTGTTTGGGTAAAAGTGCAGAAGTGATTCTGGTGCTCTAATTTACTCCTAGAATCAGTTTTTTTAGAAGCTGGGGGTGACCAGCTTCTGAAAATCGATTCTGATTCTGCTTCTGCTTTAAAAAAGAAGCAGAATCAGGATCAGTTCCAAACACCCCCTTAGTGGCGTGCTCTTAATATACTGTTTCATCATGCAACATAGTCTAGGCCGCTAGCTAAAGACAACTTCTTAAATGCGAATTCATATGCAAATACACCATCGACCCGCGTATACTCAACCGGCTGTACGGTGACCATTGTACAGTTGGTGGCAAAATTGTAATATTTGTGAAAATTGTGGATTCTCTTAAATGAGCATTAATGCATTTCTGACGAGCATTGAGCCTATTCCTTTTGAGTATTAGGAGCCTAACGGTGAACATCAATGATCTCTGCTTCATACTTTATATATCACTTTCTGTTTATTATTTTTTCGTTTATTAAAAAGTCTTAAGTTATGTCTATAATCAATTTTGATTAATTTCAATATGTGAATCTAATGTAGTGTGATATGTTTGAAACGTGAAACTTTTTAAAATGAGCATAAAGCGATTCCAAATGAGCATATCTAACTTACAAAATGAGTATCAAAAAATTTCAAAGCTCATTCGTGTATGCTCATTCATTTTGGGTGTCATACTCATTTTCAATATGTTCGATATTAATTAGTGTGAGTTCATTTCTTTTGGGCGTATACTCATTTCGTTTAGGCTCATTTAAAATCTCTACCATACTCAAAAATTTATTTGGGTATGTTCATATCTTTAAAAAAAAAGTACTTCTACAACTTAGGTATCTCCTAATCCAAAAGCTACCAAATTAAAAAAAAATCATTATAAGAATTAGAAAAATTGAAAGAGGAAAAGAAAGCAGTAGCAGAGCGTGCGAAGCCCATCTTGGCAGTATCTGCGCAATCAATCCATCCATAGTCCAAGCGAAGCCATCTTCGCCGCATCTCCGCAACCCATCCATAGACTCTCCATCGCCGCGCGCAGATCCAAGAAACGACCGAAGGTCATCGACAAGGAAGAGACGAGATTTGAGAGGTGGAGGAGGAGATCGAGGGATGACGCGCAGTACACAAACAGAGAACAAAAAGCCCGGTTGTACCGTGCGCACGGTACAACCGGCTGTAGGATGTATTTTACCCCATCGACCCACTTTTTTATACTCCCTTCGTCCCACTCAGATTGTCTCATTTTACCTTTTCGGAACATTCCACTAAGATTGTCACATACCATATTTGGTAAAGTTTATGTGACTCTTAGGGGGTGTTTGGAACTGATTCTGCTTCTGCTTGTTTTTTAAAGTAGAAGCAGAATCAGAATCAGTTTTCAGAAGCTGGTACCCCCAGCTTCTAAAAAACTGATTCTGAAAGTAAATTAGAGCACCAGAAGTGCTTCTGGAATTTCACCTAAACACTCCAGCTTCTGCTTCGGCTCCCTGAAGGAGTAGAATCAGTTTTGAGAATCAGATCCAAACACGCCCTTAATCATTCTTACTTTATCAATTCAATATCAATCACATAAACTCATTTTTCTTAATAACCGTGTCACCTTCTTCCGTCTGAATGTTAGTGGGACATAGATAGTACTTGATAGTGACATTTTTGGATGGGAGTGGCATTTTTGGACGTGAAAAATTAGCCAAATTTCTCCTGCTTTTGTATATACTATATAGAAGGTTTCAAAAAAATAATAATAAGTCAAAATAAGAATTGGCAAAAAAAGAAGTCAAAGGGTATGTTTGGCAAATGGCTTATCAGCCAGCTTTTAGCTTGTTTGACCCATTTCAACTCTTTGATTAGTCAAAGAAGCTAATAATAATGTTTGGTAAATGGCTTTTAAAATTAGCTTGTTGAGTTTGAAAAGCTGAAAAAATGGATTGTGGAAGAAGCTAAGGGGAGCAACTTCTTCATTTGGCTGGTTCAATTTACACTCTATCAGCCATTTCGAAAGAGCCAATTTTACCAAACAGTTATTTATAATCAGCCAACATAACCAGTCGGTCAAAACAGCTAACACAACCAGCTGTTGCGAAACAGCTGACACAACCAGCTACCAGCAACAGCTAACAACCATTTACCAAACAAGGCCAAAATAGCTAAAGTTTGTGATGAATAGTCACTACAAAGTGACAAATCCATTATACCTTCCCATATACTGTGTATTTTATCACACCTCGTAGAAAGTCGAAGCGTGAGTCGGTGAACGGAAATGGCACTTCGAAACCTAATGACGCGAAAATCCTTCACCAGAGCTTCGACGGCTTTCCGGCAGCAGCAACGCGGCTTGCAGACCTTCACGCTTCCAGATCTTGATTACGATTACGGTGCCCTTGAGCCGGCCATCAGCGGAGAGATAATGCAGCTCCATTACCAAAAGCACCACCAGGCTTACGTCACAAACTACAATAAGGCGCTGGAGCAGCTCGAAGAGGCCATTAATAAGGGCGATGTGTCCACCTCCGTCAAATTGCAGTCCGCCATCAAGTTTAACGGCGGAGGTCCATCTCCCTCCACTCTCTGAAAAATTGTTAGGGATTATATTAGACTGTTTGTGATCTTGGTTATTTCGAACACTCTAATTAAGAGTGAAGCAGATGTGTTTTGTGCATTTGCGAGTATTAGATTTCTGCTACATGATGAGGGCCTATTTTAGCCAAGCTTGTGATTTCTTTAGCAATTAGCAGTATAGTGAATAATATCTGGAAGGGATTCATTGATGAGAGAACATTTATAGTATGCATCTTCTTATATCAGACCATTAATCATACTTGTGAGCTGATCATTTTTGCACAAATCAGCTTGTTAAATTCTCATTAAAGTACTATAGTTTCTCACTGAACATTCTTGTTCCACATGATTTTGGTTTAATAGTCATGTTTCCTGAACAGGACATGTAAACCATTCAATTTTCTGGAAGAACCTTGCTCCTGCTCATGTAAGTTAATATACAGCTAATACTTTTGTTGAATTCTTATTTGAAGAGAAGTTCATTTCAGGATATGCTAAAATTGTAATGACAGGAAGGAGGAGGTGAGCCTCCAAAAACCTCTTTGGGTTGGGCTATTGACACTAATTTTGGCTCCTTGGATGCCCTGATTCAAAAAATGTCTGCAGAAGGTGCTGCTCTACAAGGTTCTGGCTGGGTGGTAAGTCTCCAGTTCATTCTCCTTTGTGCACCTCAGATATTTGAAGTCTTCTTTGAAATTAACATATCTTGACCATGTTCAGTGGCTGGGTTTGGACAGAGAACTGAAGCACCTTGTGGTAGAAACCACCCCAAACCAGGTACCGAGAGACTGTTCTATTTTCATAACATTCATGTTTTTTTTTCCCTTTAATTTTGTGCAAGTTCTATCTATTCTTCAGGATCCATTGGTTACTAAAGGACTAAACCTGGTGCCCCTCCTGGGCATAGATGTTTGGGAACACGCATACTACTTACAGGTTATTATTTACCCTGAACCTGAGCTTATGGTTGAGTTTAAGGACTTCAATTAATTAATTTTGGCAAAGTCAATTTGAGTATCCTCCGTTATTTACTAAGTGTTGTTTATGGTGCTCGCGCATTCTATAACAAAAAAACTATCAAGCTAAAGTATTTTAGAATGACCAGAATAACCTACTAATTATTTAAAGCAGTACAAATTATGTCGCAGTTTTGGAGTGAAAAATACTATTACCCCAGGTGTAGGTAATAATTTATAGTGCAATGCTTTTTTTGAATCGGCTGTTAATTACCCCTGAGTGTAAATTATTCTCACGGTGTACTACCATCAAAGTTTATTTTATTTAATTGATATATCTGTCCAAATGATCAAAGTTTTCTAAATTATCAACTCTTAAAAGTTAAAACAATTCATCATTACAGTTATATGCCATAATTGCGGCTCATTGTCCCTTTGCTATCGACGAAAGAGTGTAAGTGAGAGTAACTGAGGTAGATGAATTAAGAGTAATTGTGATGAACTCGTGATGAATATTGATTGACGAGAAGCGTTATAACTTTCGTGAACACATCATTTAGACAATCTTTAATCACATCAAGTCAAATGAAATAAATATCGACAGAATTGGTATACCATGAAAGATAATGAAAACTTGTGGCATGACTAGTTGTTTTTTTTGGAATCCTAAAGGGACACATTGTAGAGCAAAAAAGTGTCTGAAACTGGAGTCAAAAGAAAACGGGGATAATGTACACGTGTTGACAATATGTTTTTCTTACCATGATGCAGTACAAGAACGTGAGGCCAGATTACTTGAAGAACATATGGAAGGTTATAAACTGGAAGTATGCAAGTGAGGTTTACGAAAATGAGTGCCCCTCACCATTTGCCTCAGGCAGAACTTGATACATTCATCAAAGTGCTAGGCTTAGTTAATATGTTCAGAAAGAAAATAAGGACAATTGAACCTTTTGAGTGTTGTTTATTTGGTGGTTTTGTTCTCTGTATTGCAGTAACCAAAGAGACGTTGTTCTGGAATTTAGCCTGTCGTACTGTGTGATCTTGTTCCCTAGATATATTGCACTTCTTTATGCAAGTTTTCTGTTTATTTTGTATTGTATGGTAAAAATGCTACATAACTTATACGGAGTATTTTAATAAACTAGGAGGCCCTTTTGGTCACCTTATTGTGCTTATGTGCAAGAAGTAATTGGATATGCTGAGATCAACTTGACCAAACACCTTTCTTTTAGAAAGCACGGCTGATTCAACAAGTTCTATGAAAAACGGGATCTAGGTGAGTTAGAAGTTAGAAGCTTTGTAGCATTGATACGGGAATGCTGAAATGTAGAAACGGATAGGGAATTCAACAAAGCAACAAAATAAGGTTTGATCTCGCCCTGATGCTTGATTACCCCATCCAGTATCCGGTGATCAGCTCTAGCGACTACCAAATGCAACAAGACATTCTACATTACCTAGGGATGGACTCGGTTCGGGTCTTGAACCGGCCGGGCCTCGGTTCAAGGTATGGGAGGCCCGGAACCGGCCCGGGTAACCCCCGGGTCCGGGCCGGGTCTCGGTTATATACTTATATATATATATATTTTTGGGCTTTTCCTAGTTAACCCCCAACCCACCCTCACCCCCAAACCAACCCTAACCACCTCAAATGGCCCAAAATACCCAGCCCAACCCAAAAACTTAAAAAAAATTCAAAAAATAAAAAAAAATTGGCCGGCCTGAGCCCGAACCGGCCGGGCCGGTTCACCTTTTGAAGGGCCTGAGCCCGAACCGAGATCCCACCGGGCCGGGTGGCCCAAACCGGCCAACCAACCGGTTCACCGGGCCGGTCCGGGCCCGCACAGTAGCGGGCCGGTCCGGTTCCGGGCCGTTTGGCCCGGCCCGAGTCCACCCCTAACATTACCTATATCCACACTTGGCTGAGTTGCCACACCAACTCCCCGTTCTGCCATTATTCTTGAAGCATCCCAGATTCCCAGTGGAAAATGGAGTCTTGATCATCAATGATATGCAAGGCAGTGTCCTGTGTCCATCATCTGAAGATGAGTAATGGATCAGTGATGAATAAAAGTCGTACAAAGTAGCAGTGAAGGAAGCAAAATTGATAGCCAAGCTTCGGAATCACCGGAAACTAAATTCTGATGCTCCTTTTATTGCTGAAGCGTTTGGTAGTGGCGAAAACAATAATTGGGGGCTAGTTGCGAAAAAATAAATTTAAGAAGGTTATTTTGGTCACTAAAGAGTGCACAAAGAAAAAGGAGGGGTGCGCGAAACACCTCTCAAAAAATATTACTCCACATATCTGTTTATAAGTATTTTTATACGGAATCAGGATCTAGAAGTAAAAATTATGGGCATGTATATATAAATATTAAAAATTCTAAGTTTTTTTTAGAAAGTATGCTTATATGCATGTGCTTTTATTTGCCCATTCATGTCATTTGACCATTTCACATTATCAAGACACTTAAAAATAAATTCATACTCTTTAAAACTTTGCTAAAGTTGACCGGCACGGAGAATAATAAAGTAAAAACTGTGTAGTTGAAAATTGTACAGAGGAGAGAGAAATAACAGAAACAACAAAATAATTGATTAAAAGGAAAAGTGGTAAAGTTTTTTGTTATATATATAATATTGATGCGTCTCGATATATAAATTTACCTAATGAGAAACACGTCAAACAATCATGGTTTTGAAATTGAAACTACTTGTACTCAAAGTTTTAAGATAGAAATTGTTCCATTAAGATAGAAGTATAGAACACAAAACTTTAATCAGAAGTCTAAAAGTTCCAATAAATATTTCCGCTACTAATTTCCAATGATAAATAACATCGTCTTTTAAAAAGGCAATCTCCAATTCCGATTCATATATGCAATTATGCGAAAGGTTGGCAAACTCAAATACTTATAGATCTTCCACGACAGGTATATTAGATTTTTAAAATAATTACTTCGTATAAAAAATGGAAACTTTTAATAAATTTCATAAATGATTCAGGAATGCACGACACAAGTATCCTTATGTATTCCATAAGAGAATGTTTTTGGTACGCGGATAAAATATCCAGACAAGTATTGATGCTAAAGAGCTTAGAAGCAATTGTTTGGTTTTTAAATCGTTCTACGGGTAAGCAGAACAAACGCTCTATGGCTACTACACAGAGTTATTTGTGTATATTGAAATTTGTTTGGCAATTAGTGATCGACAATTTACTGATAATATTAATTGTGATATCAACGTATTTTATTAGCTGGTTTGTTAGTATAATTGTTTATTACTACCTATGCCCGTTTTTAATTATCTCATCTTTCTAGTCAATTATTATAAACTAATGCTCCCTATGTTTTTGTAAAGCTTATAAATTTTACACAATTATGATAGTACAAAATATATTTACAAAGAACATTTTGAGTTTTTTCCCCAAAATTAATGCTAATTATATACTAGTATTTAATAACGAAAATAAGGTTGAGTGTAACCCTAGTTAGGCAAAGCCCTCACTTGAAGTGGACTTGGATAAACTTTGTGGAATTTGAACGCAACATGAATAAAGATGGGTCACTTTAATTAGGGGTGGGTCGCAGAAACCGAAAATCGAAAACTGAATCGAAAAAACCCGAACCTCAACCAAAACAACCGAATCGCAAGAAAATCGAAACTGAACTCATAAAACCGAACCGAACCGTAGTTGTTTGGTTTTGGTTTTGGTTTTCACATCTCAAAACAGAACCGAACCGAATAAACCTAACTTTTTAAAACTAGTTATTTTATTTATTAATCATTAAGTATAATATTTTGTTTAGTTCTTAATTCTTAATTCTAGAAAATTGATGTTTGATACTAGATTTATTATGATTTGCAAGATATTGACATTTAATATTTATGGTTTAATTAAGTGGAACACTTATACATACACTTAAGTCTATTGCTATAATACTAAGATGTTGATATTTTAAATCGTAATTTACAATTTATTTGAGTTTGCATGACAATGATATTTTGTTAATACATTATATGTTATGCATATATGTTTGTTATCACATAGTTTTTTATATTCACGTGAAACTTTAGAACATAAATATCTTTGTCTAAAAAGAAAGTAGAATAAGTTATTTATTAATACAACTTTAACTTGCGAATACACTCCATATAATTCACAAATAAACTCACGCATTTAATTAATTTAGAAAATGTTTAAATTGGTATACACGTAATCATTAATTCATTGCTTGGAAGTCCATTTGTTTCTTCGAGTTTTTTCGGGGGAATAATGCTAATTAAATAAATAAATCCGAAAATACTGCTGAGTTAGTCATGGTTAAGGAAAATCGCCACTTGAAGTGGTGGTTCTTCTCTTACAGTACAAAAGGCTCTTCTCTTACATCACATTTTGTACATATATAAAACGCATTATGTTTCAAGATTTTGTTTAACTGCTTTCCCGACTGAATTTTGAGATGAAATTTGGTATGCATAAACTGGATTTGATGAGAAACATGCTTAAAACATTTCATCAAAAAATTCCACCGGGAAAACCCTCTGATGGTATTGTCCGCACGGGGGTTTCGGTCAGGACGTCATGATAGGAACGGGACACACACACACACATATATATAGAAATATTCCTGTCCGGAATTCCGAACAGGAAAAATTCGGTGCCAAAAGTGTAAGTATTATAAACTTTTTTGAAAAATAATGCGACAAATGTGCATCACTACTGAGGAAAAGTGCATTAGACTAACAAAAGTGCATCACTTTTCGGGAAAAACATAACAAGTATAAAAATCGTTCGTGATATTTTTTTAGAAGATGAATGTGCACCATTACATATTGCCTATGCACTTTGGTTATTATGTATTACACATTTTAAGTAATCAAGGGCTTAGATTACTTCTCACTTTTCATGAGAAGACCTCTTTGCATTAGAACTCACCCCTATCTATCTATCTATCTGTCTGTCTGTCTGTCTGTCTGTCTGTCTGTCTGTCTGTCTGTCTGTCTGTCTGTCTGTCTGTCTGTCTGTCTGTCTGTCTGTCTGTCTGTCTGTCTGTCTGTCTGTCTGTCTGTCTGTCTATCTGTCTATCTGTCTATCTGTCTATCTATCTATCTGTCTATCTCTCTCTCTCTCTCTCTCTCTCTCTGTCTCTCTCTCTGTCTCTCTGTCTGTCTGTCTGTCTGTCTCTCTGTCTGTCTCTCTGTCTCTCTGTCTCTCTGTCTGTCTCTCTGTCTGTCTGTCTGTCTATCTGTCTATCTGTCTATCTATCTATCTATCTATCTATCTATCTATCTATCTATCTATCTATCTATCTATCTATCTATCTATCTATCTATCTATCTATCTATCTATCTATCTATCTATCTATCTATCTATCTATCTATCTATCTATCTATCTATCTATCTATCTAATCTACTCCAAACTTTATATAAAAAATTATATTAGTACCACGATCATTTTCTATCACAATTTTAATTTATGGTAACAAGTACATAACTTAAAATACACAAACAAAAATTATGAGGATGCGATTAAAGTTAAATTAAAACAAATGTAATGTTATTTATTTCACAAAATGAAATTTAAGAATATTAATAACATTCTAACAAAGCTTAGACCATTTTAAATTATGTAATTATTTCAATCAATTTGTATTTGTAAAAAAACATACATTAATTGTCCGAGAATAACTTTTTGTATAAAGTTCGGGGTATATATATTACATATGCAAGTTTAGGGGGTTATCTCACACTCCATTAAAGTTTGGGGTATTTAAAATATTTTCCCCTTTTTTTAATTATGCATGTTTTTGTATTGTTCGGGGTATACTAGTTTGATAGTTTTTTTTTGTTTTTATTTTCTAATTACCATTTTTCTAATCAACAAAAATATCTTGGTAAAAACCGAAAAAACCAAAACCGAATCGAAATAAACCGAAATGAACAAATCGTGATTCCAAATTTTTGAACATAAAACTGAATCAAACCGAATGTAGAACCAAAGTAAAAAGTTTGGTTCGATTTTGGCTCAAATTTAGTTCACTTTTGGCTCATTTTGAGCCATTAGATCTGGAAATGAATGCACGAGATTAATTCTAACTTTGCATGGGAACGGTTTCGGTAAGAACGAACTCTTAGGAGAGAAATGAGAACGAATCTGGACCGTTGGATTGTA